AGGTGTCCCCAAGGGTGTCCTGGTGTCCCCAAGGTGTCCCCGAGGTGTCCCCGAGGGTGACACGGCTCTCGTGTCCCCCCAGGCCGCCGTCCCCGAGGCGCCGCCGTCCCCCGGCGATGGCAGCGAGGCCGAGGGGCCCCGGAAGGGGGAGGAGGAGGAGGGGCCCGGCCACAGAGACCCCGAGGCCGAAGGAGCCCCGGCCCGCGAGGAGCGGCCAGGTGAGACCCCCTGAATCCCGGGAACCCCAAATCCCGGGAAATCCCAAATCCTGGGAACCCCAAATCCTGGAAATCCCAAATCCTGGAAATCTGAAATCCCGGGAAATCCCAAATCCTGGAAATCCCAAATCCTGGAAATCCCAAATCCTGGGAAATCTCAAATTCTGGGAATTCCCAAATCCCGGGAAATCCCAAATCCTGGGAATTCCCAAATCCTGGGAAATCCCAAATCCTGGGAAATCTCAAATTCTGGGAATTCCCAAATCCCGGGAAATCCCAAATCCTGGGAATTCCCAAATCCCGGGAAATCCCAAATCCTGGGAATTCCCAAATCCTGGGAAATCCCAAATCCTGGGAATTCCCAAATCCTGGGAATCCCAAATCCCAGGAATCTGAAATCCTGGGAATCCGAAATCCTGGAAATCCCAAATCCTGGGAATCCCAAATCCTGGGAACCCCAAATCCTGGAAATCTGAAATCCTGGAAATCCCAAATCCCGGGAAATCCCAAATCCTGGAAATCCCAAATCCCGGAAATCCCAAATCCTGGGAAATCCCAAATCTTGGAAATCCGAGATCCAGAAACCCCAAAATCCCAGACACCCCAAAATCCCAGAATATCCCCAAATCCCGGAAAATCCCCAAACCCCAGGAAAACTCCCAATCCCAGAACCCCCAAGTCCTGGGAAATCCCCCCAAAATCCTGGGAAATCGCCCCAAAATCCTGGGAAATCGCCCCAAATCCTGGGAAATCCCCCAAAATCCCAGGAAATCCCCCAAAATCCCGGGAAATTCCCCCCAAATCCCGGAAATTCCCAAAATCCCGGGAAACGTCCCCAATTCCGCAGGTGCCGAGGCCGAGAAGGGGGCGGGGCCGGACAAAGGGGAGGAGAAAATCCCGGAGGAGGAGCCCAAGGAGCGCCCAGGGGACCCCGACCCCAAAAGAGGTGCTGGGGGGGCGGGGCTTGGCCGAAAGGGGGCGTGGTTTAACACGGAAGGGGCGGGGCTTAATGGAAAGGGTGGGGTTTAACCCCAGAGGGGGCGTGGCTTAAGGGAAGGGGCGTGATTTAACCCCATAGGGGCGTGGCTTAAAGGAAGGGGCGTGGTTTAACCACTGGGGGCGTGGCTTAAGGGAAGGGGCGTGGTTTAACCCCGTAGGGGAGTGGCTTAAAGGGGCGTGGTTTAACCCCCCTGGGGGCGTGGCTTAAGGGAATGTGTGTGGGCTGACCCTAAAGGGGGCGTGGCTTAAGGGAAGGGGCGTGGTTTAATCCGGGAGGGGGCGTGGCTTAATGAAAGGGGTGTGGTATGTCCCAGAGTGGGCGGTGCTTATTAAAAGGGGGAGTGGCTTAATGTAATTAAGTCTTGGGGGCGTGGCTTAATGCAGAGTGGGCGTGGCTTAACAAAAGGGGCATGGTCTAACTCAGAGGGGCGGGGCTTAAAGGAAGGGGCGTGGTTTAACTCGGAGTGGGCGGGGCTTGACCCACCCCCGATGACGTTTTTGGGGGGTCCTGGGGGGGTTTTGGGGGGTCCGAGGTGTCCTTGGTCCCCCACACCTGGCTCCTCCCACACACCTGTCAATCACACCTGGCCCCTCCCCCATACCTGTCAATCACACCTGGCTCCTCCCACACACCTGTCAATCACACCTGGCCCCTCCCCCACACCTGTCAATCACACCTGGCCCCTCCCCCACACCTGCCCATCAAGCCCCGCCCGGAGCCGAGGCCCAACGGGC